CATTTACTGGAAAGCATGGGGAAAATACAACTTTAGTATGAATGAAAGTGTATGAGGGCCAAATGAGAAAATAAAAGCATAATTTTGGGATTTATACAAATGCTTTGTAAAATGCACTACTAGTGATATTTCGTTCCAGATATGGAAGGATCAAGACCTGACTTAATAGTAGCTGAATAAAGTTTCCATTCAAAGAAGATGATGTGTGTCCAGTAGCTTTAGAATTGTTGTAAAGTTGGCCTTAAAAACAGAACTTTAAAGTGAATTTAGTTAATTCAAAAGTTAGAAGTGTGTAATTAACGTAAGAAGTTTTTCAGACTTTAATGTCTCAAACAAGGTCGTTTTGAGACCTTCTTTATCAAGTATTTAAAGTATGGTCGGAAGCTGTGTAAGGATTATGTTAATTTTATTAGCAGGTAAATTTTAAGTTGAAGTTCCTTTCTTGTCAAATTCTTAACTTCAACTTACTACTTCCGGCCAGAGCGTAGTTTTGGAATCACTCTGAATACTTAATGAGGAGGAGCGGTATTTAAACCGCGAAGTCTACTTGCTGAGTTAGAGAGAATCAAAGTTTCTGATTTGGGCGCGTCTTACTCTCTCTCAAAGCTGTTATTATGCTCGGCCGTACCGTGACCTTCGAGAGGGAGAAGGCCATGACACTTTATAAACATGGCGGAGCTTTCCGTCTGATGTTATTGTCGGAAAGTCATGTGGATTTTTTAATTTTCGTCGGAAATATAACTTTATCATGTTGCTTAGTTAATTAAAATAGCTGAAAGAAAGGAGGCTTTATATACATTATTTCCTTTAGCTTTTTAGGCTTTTTACAGATATTTTAATTAGCTTTGTGCATAAATATAATTGAGAGAATCGAAGAACAAACGAACATTTTACAAAAATTTAAACAGTGATTGAAAATTGCCACTCTCATGATAAATTGGGAAGGGGTTCTTAAGATAATAATTAATATTTTACCTAGGCTCCAGTATTAATTTATTTGCGTTTCAGAGCAAAATGTATAACCATCAACTTCTATATCTCCAACGTATGCAAATGAAATACTATATAAATTAGCTAATAAATGTGATAAAAAATATTTCGTACAAGAAACGTAGCTAAATCTTATAACAAAAAAACCTTCCAACATTCATATTTGAAATGAGATAACCTAACAAACAACATACACAATTTTAAAATATAAAAAAATATTTTAAATATTTTAAAATACTGTATGTTGACATAGTTAGTGTATGTGGCAATATTTAAAAAAGCACATAAACTATGTAATGTTTGAAAGTTACCAAAAAAAAAGTAACAAAACAACAGAACTACACTATTTCCAATTAATAAAAAAATCCTTTAGTGTTTTTTAAATAGCAAGCTGTTAAAAGTACAATAATTTGTAGCAATGCTGATGATTTTTAACATCATTTCTTTTGATTATATGTAAATATATATAGTATACACTTGTTTTAGACAATGGCAGATTCTCATGGCCATTTTATTAATTTTTTCCAATCAATAACATTCCTTTGGATACTGCGCAGAAATGATTTGAATAGTATACACAATAGTAAGAACTCAACATTTAAATCTGCTCTTCATTAAATAGCACACACAAAAAAAGGTTTTTCCCATTTATCATGAATTTTATTGCTATCACAAGCACGTATAAAACTTAACATTGAAAATGGAATATACTCAAATGTAATAATTAAAAAACATAACTTGCAACACTCGTATTCATACCAAGAGATATATTACGAATTCCAAGAGAAAAATAACAGAGCTGCAATTTGCACTTAATGAAAATTTAATGTTTCTTAAATATTCATGATTAAAAATGCAATAATTATGAATTACAATATACAGTAGTCATGCTGATGTTTCTTTACACCATTTCTTTCAATCATATGCAGGTGTATATACATATTTTTAGTTTCTAAATTTTAGGATAATGGGAATTACGATTATCATTTATATGCTTTTTATTATTTTTTTATTGCCAGTTGCATACATGTAAATATGGGCCATCTCATTCAAATATGAATGTTAGAAGGCCTTTTTTGTTATAAGATTTAGGTACGTTTCTTGTACGAAATAGTTTTTATCACATTTATTAGCTAATTTATATAGTATTTCATTTACATACGTTGGAGATATAGAAGTTGATGGTTATATATTTTGCTCTGAAGCGCAAATAAATTAATACTGGAGCCTAGGTAAAATATTAATTATTATCTTAAAAACCCCTTCCCAATTTATCATGACAGTGGCAATTTTCAATCAGCGTTTAAATTTTTGTAAAATGTTCGTTTGTTCTTCGATTCTCTCAATTACATTTATGCGCAAATTTAATTAAAATATCTGTAAAAAGCCTAAAAAGGTAAAGAAAATAATGTATATAAAGCCTCTTTTCTTTCAGCTATTTTAATTAACTAAACAGCATGATAAAGTTATAATTTCCGACGAAAATTTAAAAATCCGGATGGCTTTCCGTTGATAACATCGGACGGAAAGCTCCGTCATGTTTTTAAAGTGTCATGGCCTTCTCCTTCTTGAAGGTCACTGCCGTGCTCAGGCCCTTGATAAGCTTCGTAGTCAAATAGAGTTAAGGGGCCAACTCGATTAGAACCTTGATAGCTTCGGCTATATCTTTTTAATTAATCTTAGTTTTAGTTATTTCTTAGTCTCTTAAGTTCAAGCCCAAGTGTCGGTTTTTATTGTACACTCCAAGACGGAGTTTTGTTAAATCTTATTGGAATAATAAAGGGTTAGTTACCCTTCCATCTTGTTGTTTCTTGTTACACGAACTTAAGCGATTATTCGCTAACTAGTTCTTAAGATTCGTCACTTTCTACTGTAACTGAGAAATACACTAGTGAGAATCTTACAAGTTTTCAATATCTTTATTAGCAAGCTTTTAAGGCTACCCAGAATTAAGTTTTTGAGAAATAGGTTTTGAAGTTTTTGAGTTAATATTTTATTTTTCTGTATTTGTAGAAATTTTGTTAAGAGAAGTAAGAAGCAAACTGCTTAATTTAGAACATAAATTTCGATTTAGAATAATATGAAAATCTCCCTATGTTTCAGTATTATAATTGTACTATTTTAACCATAAGAAATTAAAATTTTCTTATTTTAAGTTGCTGTTTGAAAAGAAAATGTTTCCAGATTTATTTTTAGGGTATATGCTCTTTTTTTATTCCGCAGTTTACAATGAGCTAAAAATAAACTCATGTTTTCGCGTTTTTGGCTAGCGATGTAACACGGGAAAAGTGATGAATTACGTTCCTTTTTTCACTCACAGTTACTTCTAGAACTCAAAATTACGATATTAAAATAACTTTAAGAAGCGAATAGTAAAATTCGAATCGCCCTGATGTAAGCTTGCGAAAAAATGTCTCTGAATACAAACAGGAAATCGCATTGCCTTGCCGGAGTGTCTTTCCATTCATTTTATAAAAGTTTTGCTTAAATCTCATAATTAGTTCTTTGGGATGAGATGTTGGATATTTTCAACAATTAGGACTAATGAAATTCAAAAAACATCCGTCGTGGTGTAATTTAATTGCAGTCCTTAGAAGATTTGCTTTTTGTGAAGGACTTTCTAAGGGAAAGTGATTTTAAGTTGCGCATGTATGATAGAAAAATGTGAAAACCCCATTCAGCCAGTAACGTTCAGTGTTCGTGACATAATTAGTAATGTTCAGAGTTTTCATTCATTCCACTATTGTTGGCAGCCAACCCACTATAAACTGTAGAACAGTGATAGATATACAGGGACCAGCAGAAAGATCTCGGTTTAAAAGTATAGGGTCTTTGAAAAAGAATGCTGGGTTTTCGAAACCATGATCGCACAATGAAATTTTAAGCTTAAGGAAATAATTCTTCTTTTCAAATCGAGTTAAATAATGAAAGTTTTGTCTCATTTCACTAGCTGGCTGTATTTGTGCCTATAGCCTTGAATGAAATGTTCCCTATCTCTTGGTTTGGATGGGTGATCCAATCCCGAGGCTTTCACGAAACTCAGATATTACACCATTGGACTTTTTTGGACTTTTTATTCTGGGCAAACATTGAGAACATACTTTACAGTTTAAAATATTACCAATATCAGCTACCTAAAACGTCGAATAACAGCTGCAACTAGCACCGTAACTCAGGAGGTTCTTCAAAAGACGTTGATTGAAATTGAATACCGTCCGTCGAGCAGCTAATGGTGCACATATCGAAATATAATGAACTGCATTATATAAAACATTATAATTTTTTTTAATATAGCAGTAAAATATTTGTCTGCATACGCGTCAATTTTTTTTGCTTAATAGAATTTTGTAATCCTGGCGGTAAAATAGTTCTCAGTATTCAGTTTTCCAAGATTGCGAAGATTCCCAATAAGAAGCTTGTAGAGACATTAGGTTAATTGGAAAAGCCGGAGCGATGAAAAATTAGCAACCGCCTTCGCCAGGAATCGAACCACGGAGCTCTGGAATACCGGCCCAATGTTCAAGCCACTACACCACGAAGGCTCGTTAAGAAGGCGGGAGAAGAACCTTATATACTCCCATTTTTAAAGGGCGACCGGGGTAAGGGACCCAATCGCTGAATCCTGGGTGACGAGAATCATCATCCAACACCCTTTTAGTTCGGGCGCCACTGGTAGAGACATTAGGATTTCGGAAAAGCCGGAGAGATGAAAAATGAGCAACCGCCTTCGCCGCGAATCCAACCACGGGCCTCTGGAATACTGGCGCAGTGTGCAAACCACTACACCACGAAGGCTCGTTAAGAAGGCGGGAGAAATACCCTATAAGCTGTTAACGGAATATTTTTGTTGGCTACTTTACTTCACTTACCACATTTATTTAGTTGTAGGAAAAATATATAACTTTTTAATACAAATCCGAGCATTTAATAATTAAACTGAGAGTTTTCTGATGAAAAGGTCTGAACTAGCATTAAATTGTGAATAGAGAAGGAAATTGCATTAAATTAAATACACTCAACTTTTAATTTTTATTATTTATGGTTTTACATTTTGCTTTATTATTATCTATATGCAGGGTGTTCGGGATAAATTTGACAGTTTCGTAGGAGAAAGAAAATCCGCTTGTATGAGTAGTAGCGAAGGTCTTCATTGAGTGCAAGCTTCATAATAGAGGCTGCAACATTCATTTCACGCGACAAAGCTCGAATTCCAATGCCAGGGTTCTTCAACACCTGTTCCTGCAGATTTGCGAGGAATTCTGCTCTACGAACGCAATCAGATCGTCTGCTAGGGATCTTTCTTCTTGCTACATCGTCATAATCACCACTGCAAGTCTCTAGTTCATGTCTGATTGTTTTTTACTGTGTTCATGGAGCATTGGGCAGCAGCCATAATATCCTTATTTTGATGGCTGGCACGAATCATCATTATGCAAGTTATTCTCTTCCATGATTCAGGTGGGTTCCAGTCATCCATCCTTTCTGACATCTTGTATATGAATGAAGAAGGGTCCAAACTTTTAAATGACAAGTAGTGTGTGTCAATACCTCCAACCTACGGAAAAATATAATCAATTATAAATATGTCAAATTTATCCCGAACACCCTGTATATATATATATATACGTAATAATAAAGCATATATATATAGCTCATAGGCAATAGCTTGAAGAATTTTCTTTTTAATATATATATTTTTTAAAACTATTTTCAAAAAGGTAATGCTTTTTCTGTGAGAATATGTCTTTGAAGTAAGTTTTTAACAGATGTAAATCGTTTCTACATTTCCATTTGCTTTCTAGCTTTGCTCAAAGTTAAATAGTTCTTGGGTACTTTCCTATTATTAATAAACTAATAACGTATTTTACGTACCTGTAAGAAAAGGTAAAATATAGTCAAACCGATCGATTTCAGATCAGTCCTGATACAATAGTACGTCTGTATCAGGACTGATCTGAAAGGGACGTATTTAGCAGAGTGACTTTTAAAAGGAGTCAGGGAAAGATTTAAATCGGCTTTCAAAATATTCTTAAATTAAAAATTTAATCAAGTTGTATAAGGAGAGAAAATTTTATTTAATTATATATTACCTGTATTTTTTCTCAACTAATTGTTGATTCGACTTTGCTTCGCAAATTAGTTTTAGAAGATTTCCGAAAATCGTAACATTGCTCATCCTTCCTTGCTTAATACAAGGAGGGCTAATATATCATTTTTGATCGCTAGCGGTTTCTGAAAAATTTGTTCAAATTTTAGACTAACAGCTGCAATGTATGGATAGCATTTCCTTACTTGATTGTTCGTATTATAACACTTAATGTTTTTCTTTTGTAATTTGTTTCTTAAGGTCATCAATAGTCTACATGTACGCACTAAACGGTGAAAAATGATTGCTATCTGATGTTTTTATTTCTTGACAATTAATTTTGTAATTTATAGATTTTGTGAAATGTTTGAAGTTTTATATTGCATTTTACTTACATTACAGAAGTTTTCATAATGTTACCACTAGTGATTAAGTATATATATATATTGCATATTTCTGTATATGCATTAATGGAGCCAAAGTTTTATTTTAGAGAAAATATAGCGAGCTGTGTTAGAAGAAAAGGCTTTACGGATTTTACAAGAAATTCCATCCGATGATTTGATGAACGTTGAATGTGATGCTCTAGATCAAGTGGTTGGAGCAAATGCGAAATTCCGCCCATGAAACAAGTGATTCAGATTCCGAGAATTTGTTATTTGATGAACAGCTAGCTTATCTTAAGGGAACATTGCATTCTCTTGCTAAGATAGCATAGATGGAGATAACTGGAGAAAGACTGATTGCAATGCACTAAAACTTTATTAAAATTAAACCTATTCCTGAGTTCCTGGTAGTCGAAGAAAATGTCCTTTCAGTGCTTTCCCCCTAATTCATCAAAAAATATACGTTGAGATTGAATGAGAAATACATTGAAATTCATGAAAAATACTTGAACCGTATTTGAGCATCCCTTTAGATAAAGGGGCCCCAGCGGGTTTGTTATTGACCTTTGGGGGTCGATGAAATTTTAAAAGGCTTCAATGTTGATCAAGAGATCGACTGGTTGCCAACAGCCGAATACGTATGGGCAACTGATCAGCATAATGAAGATCCTATTGATTACAAAAATGAAATTATTAAAATAAAATTATTAAAGTTGTAAAACTGATAATCAATTCTTTACTGATATAAAGCTGTATCGTGTAGTAAGGAAGAAATCATATAAAATAAGCATAAGGCAGAAATGTGTGTGTGTGTGATTATGGCAAAGCCTCGAGGGCTATCTGCCTAAGAGGAGGGATGCCTTCGTGGAGGACTTTCTAAGGGAAACTGGCTCGTATACACGTTACACATGGGGAAAACCACGAAAACGCCCATGCAGCCAGCCCGTTCGCGGGATTCGAACCTCGGACCGAACTACCAGTGTTCAGCGACTTTACCGCTCGGCCGCTGGTGGGCCCATAAGGTAGAAAATACAAAAATATTATTTAGTATATTTTAAAAATCAATAAGATATTTTTAAATATATGTGTTTTAAGAAAACAAAGTGCAATGTAAAAAGCAGAAGCAAACACAACCCAAAATTATTCTTATATACTGGCTTTTGTAAATAAAAAAAAAAAAAAAAAAGTTTGATGTTTACTTCCAATATATTGAAAATATGAATGTAGCAACATGGCTCATAGGACTGCCATTTATTTTATCTTCATATTATGATACAAGAACAGTCGATTGCTTTTAAAGAGGATGTTCAAGCACAAGTTTTAATTAAAACAAATGTGTACGCTAAGGAATTTAATAATAATCTGAGAAAAATATCCCCAAATTAAAATTAGTTACCGAACAACATTTACTTTTTCTTTCCTTACCAAGTCGGAAGAAGGCTCAGGTCAAGTGAACAGTTTACTAAGGAAAAGAAGGAACAGTCTGAATATTTTTGAACGAGGCAATTTAAGAATTAAGTCAAGCAATTTCATGCCGAATATTAAACAAACTACATCAGTACAGGAAGGAATAGTTATTAATTAAAATAGAAATTTTGTACAATTAAAAGCAGTATTTTTTTATTTGTGAAAATTTTTCATATTTGTAAAATTAAAAAATGACAATAATACAAAAAATAAGAAGATATAAATCGACTAAACCATTTTTTCAAAACTTTTGTCCATATTCTTAGTCTAACTGTTGTCTTTAACCTTGTCACATCTGGTGCATTTTACGATCATCCAAAGTGTCCAGACTCTTGGTAAAAGTTAAGCGAATTATTTTCGAGTCTAAAATTACAACTGAAACTTGAGGAAAGTGTAAAAGACCGTTTATTTAAAACTAAAATAAGAACAGATGACGCACTCTATGAGTACAACTCAGCCAACCACTTGTGACGAAATAACTTAAGTAAGAATAAATTCAAATCTAAGTTAAATTAAAATAAACTAGTAGACGATGACCATACAAATCAATTAACTTGAAGTTGGCTCAAACCTTAACCGGAGTGGATATCAACTGTCGGCAATTATGATGCAAGGCCGAAGACTGCAAATCTTATCTTACCTAGCAACCTAGTAAAGTGGCCTCGAGAGGCAGAACACGATCTTCACCTTAAATACATGCGAACTAATTTTGAGTTTTGGCGGTAAAACGGAACGGAGAGGTGACAAGAAAGCTCCAAAACATAAAATAACTGGTTAATTAGCATAAAAGAGCCTGATAAGTTATTTGTGTGTATTTATTTGTATTATGATTATGTTGCGTATATTATGCAGGGAAATGTAAAGGAGTCAATAAAGAAAACACTTTTAAAAGGGGTTGATTAGAAGGAAACGTTTGGGAATCTCTGCTCCAGATAACTGGGAAAGAATTTTAGGCCTGCAAATCAGTTGTAGTAGTATGTTAGCTGCAAAACGTATAGAAGTACTTGTGAAAAATAAAAGATCGTGCGTATTTTAAGTTTTATATTTCAGTCCTGATTATTTTTTATTATATTTAAATGTTCTGTATCGAAACTTACTAACAAAAGGCCACAAAGTAAGCCGAAGATTTATGCATTTGACTGGGGATAAATAACATCATGGCAAGTTTAAAAACATATAACTTTCTGTCTCTGTACAAAATAATTATTCTTTCTTGACGGGGGCATTTCTTGGTACTTCTTTGGTTAAAACATCGAAACTACCTTTCTTCCACTCCATCAAAGTTTTATGAGAGAATTTCCTACTTTTTGGGTTTTGCACTGAATTGAAGGATTTGTCTTTGGCAATATAATTAGTGTGTACAAAGGGAAGTATGCCTTTTTGAAGGAAAGTGAGTCCTATTTACGCTACACATGAGTAAAACCACGAAAACCCCCAACCCGCTTAGTTATCGGGAAGAGAATGCTGGAAGAAGTGCCATTGTCTAGCGAGTTTAGTCAATCAGGCTACTTGTAGCACAAATAATTTTCATAGACATGATGATTTCAATGGAAGTTCAAGTTTCATTTATTATGACTGCCTCAGTGCCTTTTATACAAAACCAGTCTGTCTAACTTCATAGCTCAAAATGTGTTCCTGATTCCCAAATCATTACATCATCTTTTCTGATTGCAAAAAGATTTTCCATTTTCATTTATTCGTTTCTTTAATTCGAAATCTTACCGAAACCATCAAAACCTTACTATGCTATTACTTTATATCAGATATATCTATTACATTATATAGACATAAGTTAAAATATATTTAAATATAATTACATTATTATTATCTTATATATTCATAAAATATTATGAAAGAATAAATGTGGCTTTCTCAGGTTTTTGCAAAGTAAAGCTAGCTTTTGAGTTCACAGGGATAAATTGTCAGTCACAGATCTTTAGTTCTACCGTAAAATATAACATACTGATAAACAGCGTGATATTGAAATATGATTTATCTTTAAAATACTTACATTCTTAGAAGAAGAAAAAATATTCAACAGATATTTTTAAGAAATAAAAAAAAAACTATTTTATTAGGAAAAACTATTATTTTAAACTTCACCAAAACGCGTACAAAAAGACTGTGTACGAAATAAGAAAAATTTTTAATAATATTTTAAAGCAATTTATTTCTGATTTTCCTTTGATTATGTAATACTTAGATACTGTAAAAGCAAGGTCTAATTTATAGTTTCTGTGGCAATTCTGCTTCATTAATAGGGAAAATCATTTTTTTTCACCAATGGTGGGCTATAGCTATTCATAGGCGTTCTTTACTACTAAGGCCGGAAGCGGTGGTCTCTTTATTATGGAAGCACCTAATAGGTGGGCCATCGTTGCCTGTGATAGGACAGACAAATTGCATCCATGTCTTCTCACGTATTCGAACCCGGGCTCTTCGATACGACACTTACCGCTATCCGGTGTAAGATGGCTAGGGTAAATCAGCTTTCAGAGATTTTTCAGTTTGATACACCAAATTGCCTGACTCGCTTCGCTATGTCATTTTATATACCTTTCAAAAAATGTTCGCTCGAGTTAATACGAAACTTCTTTACAATCCAAATAATGTCCT